GTTTTGACAGGACCGGGCGGAGCCGGGTATGCCAGCTAGTCATTGTATAAAATGAAAAAGTAGTTCACCATTTTTTCATATGAAAGACTGATGTATTGGTTTCACACGTTGAGAGGAGTGAAGAGATGATTCTGGAGGTTACTATGAAAAGGCTTAGTTATCTTCTCAACTAGACCACGAGTCAACCAAATGGAAATAATGGAGATGGGCATATTTTCACTCGATTCTAGATTTAGCAAAGCGATGCCTTCGAAAGGAATCCAATCTGCAATCATTCTCATGCTTGACCGCTTTCATTGCACTTTACCAAATTTGTAGTTTGGTCTCTACCCTGAATTTGCCCGCGATAGTCATCTCGCCTTATGAGGATCTAGCTAAAATCATGGTTTCGACCAATCTACCACCACTCTTGTTGTTTGCGCAGGCAACATACTAAAACATTGGAGCTGAAATTCCTTCAACAAAGCACATCAATTTTGCAGAAAAACCAAATCTGAACTCAAAAAATTCCTTTATTTGCTTCATAAACCTTTTTCGTTGCGTGGACATAACATAGTTGTCAGACATGTGTGCGCTAATGTTCTTGAAAACCACCTCCCATTTTTCTTCATACTTCACCGAAAACGGTGGATGCTGCCACCCAGGTGCCGCCATGGAATTCTTGCAAGTGCTTTGCCCATAACTTGGTTTGAAATTGTTCTCGCAGTCATCAGCGGTAGCCATTATTTCGCTTCTCTTCATGTCATAAGAAAATTTGATTTAGCAGTGGACATCATTGTCATTGTGTTCTACGTTTACAAAATTTTGCAAGAGATGTTAACGTACGAAGAATTGCACCGCAAAAGCGAGCAACAGATGGCCGAGCTACAGGCGCTCCAGGACAAGGGGATGGTTTGTCAAGATGCTCAATAATGCTGAATCTTTTCTATATTTCCCATTCAGCAAGTAGCAGTACCAATAGCATTTATGCGGAAACTGAAGAAAGAACAGCAAACTGCCGAAGGTTTCGAGTCTGACATACGTGGTGGCGGTCCAACACGACCACTTCTGAACGGTGTGGCCACACCGGAAAGTACTGCACTTTCTAGAAAAAAGAGTTCATTGCCAGTAGAGATCGACTAATCAGACAGCTGCGTCCTCTAAGGTTTTCCTGTAGTTCCAGCAAAATCAAGAAGCTTTGGCATTCATATCTTCTTTCAATCAATGTCAAACACCATCGAAACTTGTTGAAAGATTGCAGCATGGGAATGGTGTTAAAAAGTTGTTCTAGGCTCACATTTGCCGCTGCTGTATTTCATTTAAAATAGCTAAATTTAATCTCGTTGAGTTTTCTTTTTCCTTTGTATTCGAAGGTGTGGGTAAATGCACTCATAAACGTGGTAGGGCGAAAATCTTGGTTCAGTATTATTTTGGTAAAGTCATGACTTATAATTAGTAGTAATAAGACATAAATACATTGATCAATCTATATCTGACTTTGTTAATTTTCGCAAAAACGGCGTATGTGAAGGACTAATCATTGGCTTCCTGATA